GGGTATTAAAACACATTTTTAAAAGTAAGGAAATTATTACTATAAAACTTAGGATAGTTTTGTTTGGGAGCAAAGGATAGAAGAAGAGAGAATGAGAGAATGAGAGAGTGAGAGAGATCTGGGAACTGAAGTGAGAGATTATGGCTCATGGGATCTTGTGTAGATCTCAGAAACTTCCTTAGTAAATAAGACATGGTTTGGAGCCTAAATACACTGGAAAGTTGGAGCCAAGACACAACTCCCTCTGTCTCCTTCTCATTCTCTATTGGTGATTTTTTTTAATAAACCAAGAAAGTAAAGGAAACAAGAGATAACTTCCCCATTTTTCCACCACCATACAGCTTCTAATGTAAGCTTACTCTGCCTTCTCTTGATTTTCTGACTTAAGGCTACCCCTTCCTCCTACACCCTGAATTTTATCCCCACTCACTTTTTAAAAACTCACTCTTGAAATTGAACATTCTTTCTTAAATCATACATCTTCACCCCAAAATGAATGTGTCATTTTAGAAAAAAATATATGCTGTAACAGTTCTCATCAGAAACCTTTCTCCTTTTCAGCTATTTCCACTTACAGAAGAAATAATCATTTACCTTTATTCATGATCTCCACTTTTCTCAACTATAATTTTTTTGTTATTTTTTTCTGGGCAAGTTCTTTATTGTTGTTGTTTTAATTTATTATGGAACACTTTCAACATTAAAATATACAAATAACTAACATAACACAATATGATGTTTTCTCTTTTCAAAGCGAGAAGCTTTGCTTTTAACAGCAGATGTTCTTCATTATACCATAAATGCAGAATGAAGTGCAATCATGATGAATATTCAGTTAGATACTGTTCTGACTCGAGCATCTGCTGCAGAATAAAGAAAGTTGACTTGAACAAAAGAAAGAAGTGGTGAAAAGTCCAACTCCATTTTCTTCAGACTCCAAGAACAGAAACTAAAAATGAATAAGATTCCCATCTCTACATAAGAATAATTAGTCCGGCCAGCGTGGCTCAGTCACTGAGCATCAACCTATGAACCAGGAGGTCACAATTTGATTCCGGGTCAGGGGACATGCCCAGGTTTTGGGCTCAATCCCCAGGGGGAGGCATACAGGAGGCAGCCAAAAAGTGATTCTCATCATTGATGTTTCTAGCTCTCTCTCTCTCTCTTCCTTCTTCTCTAAGATCAATTAAAATATATTTTTAAATTTTTTTAGAAAGAATGATTAATATGAAAGATAATGGAAATTCATGATAATTCTGTTGAGGTTAAAATAAATATAAATTTAATAAAGGCTTACATTCTATTTTCATGTGTGCATGTTTACATTCATTTCCTCAGTTTAGATTCACAACCACATTGTTGTTTCACCAATAACACGAGAACCCAGCCCCACCACTTATTCACTTTTTAACCTTGGGGAAATGCTTTAGTCTCTCCCTACCCCGGTTTCCTTATTTATGAAGTGGGGTAACGATAGTACCTACATCATGGTGTTATGAGGATTATATGCATTAATATACATAAATCCTGAAGCAGCACCTGACTCCAATATAAGCTCCATATGTGTTCATTATAATTTCATGGACCAGAGAATGTGATCTGTCTTACAGCATTTTGGAATCTGTTAAATCATTCTTTGTGGTCTAAGATAAAATTGATATTTGTTCAAATTTCCCGTGGTTTTGAAAAGAAGGTATATTTTCTGTTTCTGAGGTAATACAATCTTATATAAACACAACATATTTATGCAACATTACGATATTTTAGTAATCTAGGACCAGAACACTAGAAGGAGGACCAAAAAGAAAGAAAAGAGGCAGATGGATTTCAGGAAGAGGAATGAGAAATTTTAGTGGCCATATAATATAATGAGAAGAAGGTATAAAAGGGGATCCTGTGGTTTCAAAGCTGGCAAAGAGATGGTTAGCTTATTTAGCTCACTAAACTAGAATCTAGAGAAAGTAGGTTGGGAGTATGAGGAAAGTTAATAAGGAGATGTTTTGGGGCCTAGCCAGTTTTGCTCAGTGGATAGAGCACCAGCCTGCAGACTGAAGGGTATAGGTCAAGGGTGTAGGTCAGTTGCAGGCTTGATCCCCGGGCCTAGTCAGAGTGCTTGAGGGAGGCAACCAATGTAAGAGACATCAATTTTTCTCTCTCTGTCTCTCCCCCTCCTTCCACTCTCTAAAAATCAATGGAAAGATATCCTTGGGTAAGGATTAATAATAATAATAATAAATAAATAATAATAATAATAAAAGAGAGATGTTTTGGCATAGTAGAATTTTAGCATAAAGGAATATGAGTATCAGTCCACTAGGCACATGCAAAAGTATAACTTAATTTTTTATAAATGAACTTAATTCCTATTATGAACTTCATGCTACCTGATCACAGAAACTGAAATATAGTCAATTTAGAGTCACTTCTCTTTTCTCCAAGTTACTTGTAAGTTCCAGAGAAGTTAAACATTGGGGAAGCATCTGAGAGAGCCTTGATTAAGACATCCTCCTGACTTGGTCTCCCATCACTAGTCAAGGTATGACTGCTGAGTTGCCTCTTATTCTTAATAAAATTATTAAAACTCTTTGGGTGAGGCTCATTCCTTAGTGCATACGCTACTTCTGCTACTCATACATCATTCTGGGTTACCAGAAATTCATATGGGACTGTCTATGACTTCACCACTTCCATGATCTCAGCCATACAGGGATTATGCTACTGCTCCCTTCCCACGCTGGGGGGACCTGTGTGAGGGAAGGGGAACCAATGCTATGAGACTATTTACTAAATCGGACCATGCAATCAATGCTGAGCTATGTTCTTGCCACCTCTCTGTATTCTACTAACATAAGGAAACACTAGTGCATCATTGCTCTCAGACCACACAGTATTTCTGTCCTCCATTACCCTATGCCATTTCTCTCCTCTCTCATTATATAAAGACCAGGACTGAAAACAGAAACAGTGACCCATCACAATATAAGCTGTCTTTCCTCATTCACTCCTATACTCTCCTGCTGCCTCCAACTTATTTAAGACTTGGTTTAGAAAAACCTTAATCTCAGACTTCTAACCTTCAGAACAATGACACAATACATTTCATTGTTTAAGCTATCTAGCTTGTGGTCATTTATTATGGCAGCTCTTGAGAACTAATACACCAGACTTCTTTTATTTTTTACTTCTTTCTTTAATTTATTTTTTAATTAAATTTATTGGGGGTGATGTCAACATAAGAAACGCCCAAATGTGTATTTTTATGAGTTTATTTGAGCTAAACTGATGACAATTGCTGGGAATCAAAATCTTAAGGGATTGAGAAAAAACTCAAGAGAATGACAGTTATGCACCTTATTTTATTATTTTTTATTGTTTTATTTTTTTATGCACCTTATTTTATACACTTAGAGGCCCGGTGCATGAAAATTCATGCACTGGAGGTGGGGGGTTCTTCAGCCCGGCCTGCCCCCTCTCACAGTCCAGGAGCCCTCAGGGGCAGGAGGCAACCCAGCAATCAGGGGGAGGCAATGCCCCATCACACCTCTGCTGCTGCCACTGCCAGCAGTGCAAGCCTCAGCTGGCCCTGGTTACCTGAGCTTCGGGTGGCCCTGGGTGGCTGGGCAGCTGACATCAAGGCCTTCCTGTGCCTCGGGCATTGGCTGGGCAGCCACCATCCGAGGCTTGCCTGTGCCTTGGGCCAGCCCTGGTCGGCTGGGAGGCTGAGGGGATTGGGGGTCTCTGGAGGCCTTGCCACGTGCCTGCCACCCTGATGGGGCTGAGGGGACTGGGCACTGCTATCTTGTGACTGTGGGCATCTCCATATTTGAGGGTGTGGCAGTCAATTAGCATATTCCCTCCTTATTGGCTGTGGGCACCACCATCTTTGAGGGTGGGCAGTCAATTATTGGCTGTGGGAGCTACCATCTTTGCAATGGCATGAGGGTCAATTAGCATATTCCCTCTTTATTAGATAGGATTACAATTAAAGGAGGAGGTGTAAGGATGGTTACATGAAATTCATTGGTGATACTTTAGGACAGCGGTTCTCAACCTGTGGGTCACGGCCCCTTTGGCAGTCGAACGACCCTTTCACAGGGGTCGCCTAAGACCACCCTGCATATCAGATATTTACATTACAATTCATAACAGTAGCAACATTACAGTTATGAAGTAGCAACGAAAATAATTTTATGGTTGGGTCACAACATAAGGAACTGTATTTAAAGGGCCAGAAGGTTGAGAACCACTGCTTTAGGAGGACTGGAGAAAGTCAAGCAGGGAAATCTCTAGGATTGGATAAAAAGTAAAATGGATAGACACATACTTCTTTTACATTTGTGGATATAGAATAGTTAACAATCAATAATTATTCTGATAATAATAACAATGATGGTATTTGTTGTCTTTGCTCTGATGCTGTGGTTGCGCTTTGAGGGGTCTGGAAAAAAGCAAATTACTTTGATATTTCAAAGGTGTGCTTTCAGGTGTGTTATCATAGATGCAAAAAAAAAAAAAAGACAGCAGACAGGCTCAGTTAAAGTGAAGATTGACCTTTGTGCCCTAACCAGTTCGGTTCAGTGGATAGAGCGTTGACCTGGTGACTGAAGGGTCCCAGGCCGTAGGCTCGATCCTTAGGAGGCAGCCGATCAATGATTTTCTCTCATCATGATGCTTCTATCTCTCTCCCTCTCCTTTCCTCTCTGAAATCAATAAAAATATATTTTAAAAAGAAATAGCATATCGTTCTCAGGTCTCCATTAGTACTTTTGGAAAACCCAGGTCGGGGAGCAGTGCCCTTGTCAAAAGGAAAAGCTTTTGAATGGGGACAGCTGTCAGTTTTCCCTCGTCTGAGCTTTGCCAACTCAGGTGCCTCAAGAAAGATCAGTGTAGCATATCCAACTGGAGCAGGGCGCACCTCAGACCTGAGTACTTCCCTTTCTCGCTCTCTGACAGCCCGTGCCAGATCCTACCACCAGCCTCCTCCACAGCAGAGCCTAGCCATGAAGCCTCTCCTCATTGTGTTGGTCTTTCTCATCTTCTGGGACCCAGCGCTGGCAGGTAAAGTGGAAATCTTCCTGGGGGGTCCTTTCTAGAGAAGAGCAATTCCACTAAGCAAGCCTATGCATGTCTTCCCACCATGGACCCTTTAATTTTCAAAGTAGAAAAAGCATCAAGCAGCTTTGATGTCAGCAAGGTCGGAGCTTGCATCTTGGCTCTCCAACTTGTTAGCTGTACTGCTGTAGGCAAAAGTCTGAGCTTCTCTGAACCTCAGTTCTCTTCACTTACAGAACAGAAATAATAATACTAGCAAGGATTAAATGGTATAATGTATAGAATATGCCTAAAATAATATGTGCAGGACCTGACTTATGAGAAGTATTATATTTTCATTAGTGATGCCTCATCTTATTTTGCCACTAGTTTGTCTCTAACTCAGGAACATATCTAGTCATACTAGTCAAAACCAGCAAGTGGTGATAACATGTTAAGCCTCCTAATATGCGGAAATTGCGTATAGTAAAGTTACTATCTGTCGATGCCTTAGGTACATGGTGAAGCAGATGTGGAACTGCTTGTTCCAAGAAAATTAATGAGACCCTATGTGATAAAAGACATGAAGGACTAACTGGCCTCATGTTCTGACTTTAGAAATCTCATCTTGAATATTCTCCTCACTCAGTGGAATCAGTTCAAATCTATGTGTTAGAGGGTCCCATTTAATTTCTCACCCTCCCTGCAGTATTTTCTAGGCAAATGAATCAGATTTTCAGATCATATAACTCAATGGGCTTAAATTAAGAATCCCTAGGATTCAGGCCTTTTAAAGCTCTTGATGGGACCGATTCCACTATGACCACAGATCTCCAGACAATTGCATATCGTCTATAATATTCCATTTATTGTCTTATACATTCCCATAGCTACTCTTTTTCATAGGACTTTCTCATCTCCTATGCAGACCATTACATTTCATCTCCTCGGGCTTCCTTCTTGCCAGCTAAGTAACCCTGACCCCTTCTTTTTTCCTATAGGACAATTATCCTCCAGGGCATGATGACTTGGATAGGGTATGTGTTGGCTCAAAATATTTACACATGGACAAATACGGGCACTCTTGTCCTTTTAACGCCTTCTTACACATGAGCATAAAGAAATATTCATATTTTAATGATCCTGTGGAGTAGCATGTCAACAAAATTGTAAGCCCAGCTCTAATGCCTTGGGCTCTAATAAGAGATCCCAAATCTGATTTCATCCTCCTCTGAACTCACACCATTCCATATGGCAAATGTGTCACTAGACTTGTCATGTTTTTCTCCTCTCTTACAGGTATTTTGTGCTTCTTCTCTCTTTGTCTAGACTGAAAATTCTTTGAGATTAAGGTCTATATTGCACTCAAATCTGCAGCCCAACAGTACCTGAGTTTATAAAAACTGGTTTGGGAATGAATAAGTAATTAAAAGTGAGTTAAGAATTATATACATAGGTAACTTGATTGTTTCAAGTTATTATTTGACCAATTTGGGCAAACTTCTAAGTTACTAATTACCTTAGTCGGCTCAGACTGCCATAACAAAATACCACAGACTGCATGGCTTAAACAAACTTTATTTTCTCATAGTTTTAGAGGCTGGAACGTCCAAGATCAACTGCAGGTCGATTCAGTTTCTGATGAGAGTTATATTTCCTGCCATCTTCTTTCTGTGTCTTCTACCACTAAGTCTACCAGTCCTATTAATTTAGGCCACCAATCCTAATGCATTAGGGCCTCGCTCTTATTACCTTTTTTTTTAAGTCTTTATTGTTGAAAGTATTGCATATGTCCCCTTTTTCCCCCATTGACCTCTCCCAGCCATCATAACGGTTATGACCTTATTTAATTACCTCCTTAAGTCCCAATCTCCAAATACAGTCACACTGAGGATTAGAGTTTCAACATATGAATTGGTGAGAGGGGACTGCAATTGAATCCATAGCACAAGCTAATTTTTTTCAATGAGAACCTATTAGAATTAATTAAATTCTATCAGAATCAATTGATTCCAACAAAATCAGTCATTATGAACTAGTCTCCTTAGAATTAGTATAGAAAAAAAAGGGGGCGGGGCCTTTTTATTTTATAGTCCAAACAGGTCTATAGTGAATTCTCCTTCCATTCATTGTCTTTCCAGGCATGAATCCAATATCATCAGAAATACACAAGAAATGCTATGGAAATGGCATCTGCAGACTTGAGTGCTATGGAAGTGAAATGTTAGTTGCCTACTGTATGTTTCAACTGGAGTGCTGTGTCAAAGGAAACCCTGATCCCTGACATGAGAAGCCAGTGAATGCCAATGAACTTGAAAGCCCTGACCGCTCCCATCTTTCACACAGCCAAGGAATTTATGTTAAACGGTGGCACAGATCTGGCATTTTTATAAACCTTCAGATTCTTAGGATTGTGGATTTTTAAAGCTGGCCTACAGCTTTCCTAAAAGCAGCTAAGCTTCTCATGAAAACAACTTAGAATACATTTTCCCACTTCAAAGTGATATCCGGGCTCTCTTCAGTGCCTATTTATCTCTTTACTCATGGAAAGGATGTCTTGGTTATTCATAGAGGCTTCAAATTATAAAAACGTCTCTTTATACTTAGACTTTACCATTCCTTCAGCTCCCCACTTACCTTTTCTTTGCTCTTCCCATCTACGGAGGAGCAGATCTGTCTTGGCCTCCTGTTGACCTTGTGCATCTCTCACATAGAACACATAGGCGAGGCTTAACTGCAGGCTGACTTGAGTCTTGACTGGGCCTAACCCTGCAGTTCTTGACACACAAGGAGAAAGGCCATGTTGTGATGAGCTGCCATGAGGCAGGTTCTCATTCACCTCCCTGGTTTCAGAGTGAAAGCATGGGACTTTCCACCTCAGCCTGCTTAGGGTCCAGGCTATGAGAACACTTGGCTATGGTGTAGAGTTGGCTCCTGAGCAGCAGAATGGCCCACCACTTCTACTGCCCATCATCTGGCCTCTCTGGTGGGGTATCATCCTGTGAGACTAGCTGCTAACACCATGTTTTGCTGCATGTGTCAGTTAATAAATTGTCTAAATCCATCTGGATTCATTGTTTTCTTTGCCAGACAAACTTATGAAAGTACTAGAGCCTCGGTACACAAAATTCATGCACTGGATGAGGGGGCCCTCAACCCGGCCTGCGCCCTCTTGCAGTCCTCGCTCCTTACTGCTCACCTGCTTGCTGCTCCTTACCGCTAGGCTCACTGCTCCTTAGTGCTCGCCAGTCATGAGCTTGGCTTCTGGCTGAGTGGCACTCCCCAATGGGAGTGCACTGACCACCATGGGGCAGCTCCTGCATTGAGTTTTTGCCCCCTGGTGGTCAGTGCGCATCATAGTGACTGGTCGTTCTGGTCTTTCCACTGTAATGGTTGCTTAGGCTTTTATTATATAGACTAGTGGCCTGTTGCATGAAGATTCATGCAATAGGCCTTCCTTCCCCTGGCTGCCAGCACCGATTTTCCTCCGGGCCCCGAAACCCAGGCCTTTGGTCCAGCTGCAGCAGTGAGGCTTGGCTTCTCCACTCCCGCTGCTCCCAGCCCCCTCCTTTTTTTTTTCCAGCTTCTTGAGCGGAGGCCAGGGTTGGCTGGAAGCCTGGGTCGCCAGGGCCACTCCTTGAGTGGAGCCCAGGCCCCCAGACCCTCCTTGAGTGGAGCCCAGGGCCGGTGGGAAGCTTGGCTTTCTCCGTCGCCGGGAGCAATCCAAGCCTCCTGCTCACTCCAGCTCCGTGACCGCTGCCATCTTCGGTCATCTTCAGTCTTAGCTCCACGCCTGTGTATGCAAATTAACTGCCATCTTTGTTGGGTTAATTTGCATAATCACTCTGATTGGCTGGTGGATGTATCGGGGTGATGGTTAATTTGCATGTTTCTCTTTTATTATATAGGATAACAGGCCAACCTAGCAACTTGCATTGTGCTGGTTGTCTTACTGACTACTGTGATGCCACTGAATATCTACCCAACTGCTCAACACCATCAACCTATATACAAATGCTTGAGTGTGGGAAGACTGCATGTGCTGCTCAGGAAGAGGGGAGGGGTGGCAGAGGGGGATAGAGATTCTGATTGTGGAACAATTTTCTTCCACTTCAGTGCTGAATACAGTTTGGACTTTCTAGTAATTCTGCGACTGTAAAACTCTAGCTGCAAAGAGCCAACTGCTGACAGGGTATAGGGCTGAGGAAACAATGGCTAAGTCCTGGCCTAAAATGACAGTACTGCCTTTCCAGCCTCCTCGCTGCACCTGGGAAGAGATGAAGGAATAGTAGGTGAGAAAGAATAAGGGGTTGTGAGGTGTTCTACCCTCCCAGACATTGTTCAGCCTATGCTAAAATCCAGTGCTGTGTTAACTGGGGACATACTAAGAATATAGTAGAGTGTGTCTTTCTCTCAGAAGCCCATAATGTGGAGTCATTAGGTATGAGAGATGGCCTGGAATGGTAACCTCGGTTGTTAAGTATCCAGAGTATGGAATGTATCAAGACAGGGCCCAGGAAAACTATTCTATTCTAAAGGAAGCAGGGAATTCTATATAAATATATATATATATATATTTCAGAGAGGGAGAGAAAGACAGAAACATCCATGATGAGAGAGAATCATTGATCAGCTGCCTCCTGCATAGCCCCCTTCCTCTCACTCCACCGCTCCCCCTACCCACCCATCCCCCACCCCCAGGGATCAAGCCCACAACCCAGGCATGTGCCCTGACCGGGAATCAAACCATGAACTCCTGGCTCATAGGTCATCGCTCAACTGCTGAGCCACACCAGGCAGGCTTATTTGAAGAATAATGCCGGTGGTCTTAATCCAGCATCTAGAAGGGTTCAGAAATCTGGAGAAGCACTGTGTGTAAATTAATCAAGAGTCCAGAGACAAAAAAATAATTTTGAAAGGCATTATGGGGAGTCAGAGAAGACTTAGCTAAAGGAACTAAGTTATCCTTGTCTCAGGACCCCTTACTATTTAGTAACACAATTTGTCCTAAGGCAAGGTAGATATACACATCAAAGAGTAGGGCTACTGTACAGAAACCGTTGTCAGATTGGGGAATTTGCCTACGGCTGTTCAGGTGTTTGGCCAGTAGGAGACAATAACATGTAGATTGAGATGCCCTGAGCTATCTGGTAGCAAACAATCATTTTATGCATCCTTTTCAGGGGTTTGGGGAAATGCCTTCAGTCATTTCCAGATGATTCAGCCCTGCTGACATGCTGGAACTGGCTTCCGCCAGAAGAACACTGAATCTTCTGGAACTGCAGCCTCATAACATCTCAGATAGCCTTATTTTACTCTTTCACTTCATGTGTATGTTCTCAAGACACAGATAAACTAAAACTTGAAAACAATCCAGCTATTATTGGGGAAGTTGAAGTATTACTTTCCCCACTGAGTGCTTGAGGTGGAGTCCTTACAATATCTCAAGAAAAAGAATTTTCTGAGACGCTCACAGAAGAATGAATGATTTTTATTTGTGTGGAATCACATCTCTGGGTTGCCAACGTCCCATTTCCCTTATTCCAGTCCCTGAAGAAGTGTAGCTGGGGATTCAGCAGAGCTAAAAGCAAAGCCAGTGTGCAGCGTTTCCTTTCCATGTCGCAGCCAGGTCCAGTTCAGCATCAGGCTGGTTGCAGTCCATTAGTCCCCTGTGTGTGGGGGTCCCCATGGTCATGGGCCATGTGGGTGAATGCAGGGAAGCCAAAGAGTGTGCCCCCCCTGCAGCAAGAGTCCAAAAACCATAAGAGAAACAAGAGAGCCAACTCCTTGGTTTAGGGGATTAAATGTCCCAAATTTCCCACACTTGCAGTGACCACACCTATTCTGGCCAATGACTTGTTCCCAAATGTAACTGATAGGCACGTACCCTCCAGACCTCACCCCACTTTACTGGGCAGGTGTCTATCTTCCCTCTGCTAGACCCCTGGGGAGTGTAAAGCTCTAGCTGCCCAAATGAAATGACTATAATATTTGGCCTTCCCTTTGCTCCTTTCCTATTATTAATAAATAGGTTAATTATAATGGTATCCCAGCATGCTGATTATCTGAAGAGCCTCTCTTTCCAACTGGATGAGAGGACATTACTAGAGTCCCTTTAGCGAGGTGACCCCCTGGGTTCCCCCTGCTAGAAGAATCAGAAACTCTCTGGATTCTGCTTAAGTATTGAACAGCCAGAACCACCCCCCATCATAAGAAAACAAAGTAAAATATATAAGCCAACACTACACTTGTTCTACCTTACTCTGCCACAAACCCAAAAGTTTACTTTCACATGCCATCAGGAAATGAACTCTGTTATTAAAAATGGTGGCTGCAAACTGCTTTATTCTTTTGACACAAAAGTATGTATATTACATGAGCAGCTCTAACTTTTCTGGGCTTTTTTAAGATCCAAAGCCTTGTAAAAAAAAAAAAAAAAAAAAAAAAAAAACATGTACTGGCCAAATCTCCCAGTAAAACAAAATATGGAAGGTTTTTGATACAATATAGAGCAAACTTCCTTCAAAATTCTTTCTGGTGTGGACAAAAGGGGCCACATGCTAACCTGACAAGCTCAGGGAAGGCCTGCATGGCAGTCTTGCAAACTCAGAGACCTAAAGTAACCACAAAAGATGGTCTGAAATTAAACTTTAACTAAAAGCAATTATGGTGGGTAGTTACATCCTAGGCCGGTATCTTCACTGCAAGGTCAGCCTTTACCTTAACTGAGCCTATCTGTCTCTTTGCATCTATAATAACATACCCTTGAAATGTCTGGGTAACTTGTAACTTCTCTTTTTCTGGACCCCTTGGGGCACAACCTAATGTGCCTGGGCTCCAGGACAGATACCACAAATTCCTTCATTGTCATGTTAATTGTTCCTGCACCCACCTAAGTATGTGTCTATTATTTTACTTTTTATCCAATCCCAGGGGTTTCCCTGCTTTGCTTTCTCCCGCCTTTCTAGTCTATCACCAATGGATTTTATGTAACCCACCTACGTCCCTTTCCTTTGATTGCAGTGTATAAATACAGATGTAACCTGCCATTCTCCAGAGCAGTATCTCAATTTGTTGAGGTTCTGCTTCCCAGCATAGGTTGACAATTTGTCTCAAATAAATTCACAAAAATTCTTTAAAGGTTTCAATGGTTTTTTATGTTAACACTGGATATCATTCTCTGATATCCCACTCATCCAACAGCAAAAATTACATTGTTTCAAAGTGATATCTGGTATGTCTAGAATTTGTAATTGAGATTCTGAGAAACTTCAAGGGCAAGAA